AGCGCTAGACTTTATTTTCGTTGTCTAGTTCTTGCATCATTGTGTTTCACTTTCGTTTTCGTGCAGGATAAAGTCTCATTTCCCTCTTCTACCAATAAATAAGCATAAGTTCAAGTTCCAATAAACTAACTATGCCTGTACATGAACGAGATATTGTGTATTAAGAACCAAGTTTGTCTGTAGCAATTGCAAGATTCGAAGTAGAGATAGCTGACTGACTTGGCTTTGTTTTGGAAGCAGTATAAAAAAACGAATCATTTGTGCAGTGGTATCGGACATGGAGTAAATCTAGTCTACAAGTTTAATCTTAAACAGTTTCTTTTATAAATGACTGATGCATTTTTGTTGGCCTGATACAGAAAACAAGCTGAACTTCGAAGCGACAGACGATCATTAACGCGGAAGTGAAGTTTATCACGGAATGTGGAATAAATCGTGTGATTGAAACATTAAGGTAAACTACATAAAAGACAAGTCGAAATTCTAACGAACATGTGAGATTAAGTTAGTTTTAAACCTCCAATTTGATTTGAATTGACGAGATTCGTATTATCTAGGTATTGAAAGTGGAAAACATTTGAAGYGTTCTTGCTAACRTAGRAATCACACAGAAGTACCAGAACGAACACCGCTACACAGGTAGGTATTTTAACTGCAAGTGAACTATTGAAATCATATTTATTGAAAGTGTGGTCGCATAACGATGGAATTTATGTTGAAATTGAGAAATTTGAGCGCTAATAAACTGTTTGGTGTGGCTTCGCCTGTAAACGAAGGCTATTCCTTTTGATCCCTTTGTATGATGTCACTTCATTGATTGACGGCTCTCTGTCAATGTCAAAAACTGTTAGACGTGTGTAGACCGTGACAAGCTGCTGTGCATAATATAAATAGCCCCAACGAAGAACAAAAACATTAGGTGCGACTATAGCTGATCTCTGTAAAGTATATTCTAATAACGATTAACTTATTAAAGATTTACTTAGGATAATGCTGATAGGATAATGAAATAAGAATTATTTAGATTCCAAGCAGTTTTTGCTGGGTTGATAGCTGGGTATTGTTTTACTGATATTGAACAGATTTGAGCGCTTAATTTTTTTTTTTTTCTTTTTTCTGTCTGATAAATCTTATGTTTTATTGTCCTATAAGTAGTAATATCAAACATGATAATTTTGAATTCCACACTGCATTATTTATAAAACATTTTCTTGAATCTGTGATACACGCTGGGTTATATGTTTAAATTTTTTGTATAAGATTGATTGTTGTGGAGTGTAAAATATAAACCTTGCATGTTCAAAGTTCAACAACATTGTTCACCAGTTGTAAATAGACCAATTATTTATTGGCATGGTAAGAAAATTTCAAGAAACATGGGATGAGATTTCTCATTGCGCTCGTGGTTCCACTTGAGTTTTGACATTTTAAGATGCATCTATGATATATCAGTCAATGGAAATCTATGAGCGATTTGTTAAATATACGTAATTATTTTCAGTTAATAATGTATCAATCAATTTCAAGGGTGCCAATGTACCCTGGGCAAACCCCGGGCATTGGCTTTAGGCACTTGTCCGCATAGTCAGGCATTTGACGAAAAACGAAGCCCGACCTGTTGGGTAGATTTGACAAATGATAAATTTCTGGTCAGTGGTCATCAATTAAAAAATTCACGATGGGTACCCTTGGAATTGACTGATACAAATGCGTAATAAAATATAAATTTGAACATATCTTATGCTTTTTATATTTATTTAGCGTAAATTCTGACGAAATGGGAGTGCTTTAGAGGAATTCAATGCGGACTGTCCAGGTGATGTCATTAGAAGTTCAGTAGCAACCATGGAAAATCAAGACTCGACAAAGTGTTTCTTGTATGACATTCTTAGGGTAGAAACTATCCGTGAACTTGAAGCTTATATCAAAGATGGAAAGTGCACTCTAGCTGAGCTCAAAGATTGTTTTGGTACATTTCTCTCTAAACTCCCTGAAAAAGAACTAGAAGAAATCGATAATGTAAAAAAGTTTGTAGAAGCATTGGACAAACAAGGTGTTATCGGAGCAAACGATGTGAAGTTATTAAAAGTGTTAACTAAGAAGATTGGATTAGACAAACTGAAGGAAAAAGTTGAGGAATATGAAGCGGATTGTTCAGATGATGTCACGAGAAGTTTAGCAACCATGGAAAATCAAGACTCGACAAAGTGTTTCTTGTATGACAATCTTAGGGTAGAAACTATCCGTCAACTTGATGCATATATCGCAGATGGAGAGGGCACTCTAGCTCAGCTCAAAGATCGTTTTGGTACATTTCTCTCTAAACTCCCTGAAAAAGAACTAGAAGAAATCGATAATGTAAAAAAGTTTGTAGAAGCATTGGACAAACAAGGTGTTATCGGAGCAAACGATGTGAAGTTATTAAAAGTGTTAACTAAGAAGATTGGATTAGACAAACTGAAGGAAAAAGTTGAGGAATATGAAGCGGATTGTTCAGATGATGTCACGAGAAGTTTAGCAACCATGGAAAATCAAGACTCGACAAAGTGTTTCTTGTATGACAATCTTAGGGTAGAAACTATCCGTCAACTTGATGCATATATCGCAGATGGAGAGGGCACTCTAGCTCAGCTCAAAGATCGTTTTGGTACATTTCTCTCTAAACTCCCTGAAAAAGAACTAGAAGAAATCGATAATGTAAAAAAGTTTGTAGAAGCACTGGAAGAACAAGATGTTATCAGAGCAAACGATGTGAAGTTTTTAAAAGCGTTAGCTAAGAACATTGAATTAGACAAACTGAAGGAAAAGGTGAAGGAATACGAAGCTGATTGTGCAGGTAATGTAAGGAGAAGTTCAGTCAAGAACCATAATATTTAACTGCAGACCATTTATCTTATTCATGGAATTTGTTTATTAAAACACCTTTAACCTAGATATTTAATAAGCTAATATATTCAACTTCAGAAGGGTATTCTTGTTGACAAAATACTGTATTCTCAAGGAAATAGAATCAAAGTAATGAAAAAAGAGCTGCATGCATCTCTGGAGGAGGGGGGGGGAGGGGACTCCCATATAAAAAGGTGGGGATGCTTGTCGGAAATTTTTGAGAACAAACCCTGAAAGGTACCTGAGTCCTGTTCAAATGAGCATGGCAACTAATGATTTTTACCCAATGTACCAAACGCTCATTATTTTTATTTTATTTTATCTATAAGTACGAAGTGATAGAAAAGTCGGATGATGAACTGAAAATAAATCATATCCTGGATGCATTAGTATTGTTATTCCAGCTTACATTGCTGAGCTAATCTTGGGTATCTCAGTATTACCTGTAAAACGCCCTAAGAGGTACCAGCTTACTCTCTTGTTGTCTTGTTAGATTTGTGGCACCCTTAGAGATACCAAATTTCAGATCTATATTTGAACCCTAAGAGGGTACCATTTCTGACGGTTTTTTCATTATCAAAAGCCCTATTCCTCCCCCCTCCCTGGCATGCATTAAATTTAACGCACATTAGTATGTAAATGATATTAAATATAATATTATTATATTATATAAATATTATGTGCACCAATTCCCTAAAACTTTCACAGTTGCATAGCAATATTTATTGGCTGACGAGGGAATTGCTTATTACCGGAAGTTACGTCTATTGATAGCAACCTATGGAGAGTTTGTACTTCTAGCACTGACATTTTTGATATTAATCCAATACCAAAAAATATCATGACTTGAAAGAACATGTTATTATTTTGTTAGTAAAAGTTAAGAGTTTGAAGAATATTGCTGCTTTGATCTAGCACCTGAGTTAGTGACC